CAAGCTACGGTTTTATTCTTAAAAGTGATATGCTGATTAGATCCCATCGAAAGCAGTATTAGCTGAAACTTCTCGATAGCTGTAGGTCCAGAAAAACCTCCTACGTTTGTGTGTGTCACAAGGCTTCAGAGCACCGTTGCGGCTTTGGTTCGGTTGGTCTTTAATCCTCATATACTGGCAATACTGGGGTGTATTGCCATTTTGGGGTATTTACCCCCAGACCTTAACAGATTTTTTCTTCTTCTTTAAAATTATATGTGAAGGTGATTTACCCACTAGAGCTATTTTCCTTCCTTTACAGGAGTGGCAAGGCCAACACAGAGCTCCTCTTGTCTTTCTGTAACTCGGCTCAGGAAGAGTCTTCGACTGCACCAACAGTTTTCATGCAGAGAAGCCTGAAAGAGCAGTGACCTCAGCACTGGCAAGGAATTAGCTCTATAATCTAATAGGGTTTCTTTTTCCATTTCTAAATAATGGGATTCTATTAGACCAAACTGTAGTCTCCTCTTAATGATAATTTATTATATAGCATATCTGAATTTTGCCTTTTATAAATCATTGAGAATTACAATACACAGTTATATAATTGAATCTTCTTTTGTATCGTTAATATTTTTCATTGTTTAGAGAAATCCCTTTTTGTTTAGAACTCACATGTAACTGGGTTTAGGAAATACAGGAGTTTTTTAATATGCCTAAGTGATTAAATATTTTCATTTTTACTACTTTTAAATATTTTGTAAAAATTCTGAAAAAGCAAAATACTTTAAAAGAATTTTAAGCTTATGAGGTTTTGTACAAATGATTCTGGACAATTTTGAAGACAAATCTGGCCTTAAATGTATGTATATATCTCAAAATCTCAAAAAAATAAGTTCTATTTCATGGTCTTTGAAAGGAAATAATTAAGGATAATTGATTCCCACATTGACATTTAAATGTATTAGTGGTATGCACCAGTGAAAGTATTGATCAATGAAAGTAATCAGTAATAACAGGAAAAATTAATCACTTCTGCAGATGTATTTGACTTCAGCTGTGGAATGTGCTTCGGCCAGGATTGAAGCTGACCCTGGGAATTTAACAGGGACTACTATCCACCAAAAAAAGACAATGAAGAAATGTAAATGAAGCAAATCTGGGAGGCCGTGCTTTCATTTGCTATTAGAATATAGAAACATAGTGAGGAAAGTACAGCCTAAAACCTGTGATCTACAGTTTGTAAACCCATTTCTGGATTTGACCAGCAGCCGATGATTTAGAAGAACACACAAGAAATCTTTTTGGGGGAAATATTTGTTAAAGTTCTCAGCTCAAATAAGTAGAGATTGGTTTACGCCCCGAATTGGGAGGGTTTCTATGAGAAATCTTTCAGAATCATTTATTAACCCAGACTGTACTGGCTGGATATTCTTACTTAAGAGCTCTTTTTTTTTTGGAGAATTTAGTTAAAATCTTGACCTCAACAAAATCTTGAGGCAATGAGCCTCAGTTTGATTACCTAGTGATTGGAAGTATCTCCCTTTACCAGTTCTAAACTCGCTAAGGCAGGAATCAAAAGATCACACTGTTATAGGTTATCCTACTTTTTTTTTTTTCTCCTAACCAACGTTAGGAGAGAGCGTGAGTGATGCGGTCACTGAAAGGTGCGATTAAATGGGTAAAAGCCAAAAGTGCCTAATTTAACTTCTCCAGTCTCATCAGTATTTTAGTATTCATATATGTGTAATATTATACAGTACAGCACACCTCCTTGTTAATACAAATAACTTTTCCACCTCTCTTGAACGATAGGTGCCCTCGATCATTCTTGCCACCTTTCTGTGGATGCCACCAGATTTGATAGTCAGAGAATCAGCCCAGAAATATTTTAAGAGTGCTACATTTCCAGTGGGAATTGAGTAAGATGGGAGTGAAGGGCTTAGATGTCCATCTAGCACACTCTCTTTTTCTGCGGCAGGACAGAACTGCCCACACCATGTTTATCTAACTTCTTGTCTCCATAGAGATATTCCTAGTGATAATTAGATCTGTGTGTTTAAAGCATCACCGTACTAAAACAGGCTGTCACATAATGCGTTACAAGCGCATGCAGGAGCAGTAGATACAGTTTTAACTACCGCTCTTTCTTCCAGATGTAAGAAGACTTTGTTATTAAAAATGAAGAGACATTCAGTTTGTAAAGAACGCGTGTGACTTTGGAATTAAAGTGAGAGGAGTTCCTCAGATGTTTGCATCCTAGATGTGGTGGCATTTTATTTATAGTATTACCTATAGAAATTCCTGAACTGCTTATTTTCAGAGCTCATCCCTTTCGGTAACCTTTTTAAAGATAATACAGCAAGAGTATTTTGGTAGCTGTTTCTAGAAACAGTTTGATATTGTGAAATCAATACAAGGCCAGGAGCTTTTGAGTTCTCCTGACAGCAGTGCTTTGAGGAGATTATTTTGAACTACAATGTCAGGCTCTTCAGGTTAAAAAAAGTAAAAATAACTTGCAGCTTGTGTCACAGCCTGTGAAATATATCTGTGTAACCGCACATCGCATTGAACTCCACTGACAGCAGGATGATAAACGTCAATGAGAGTTAAAGCTTCCACTTTGTAGAACTCTGCTGTCTCTCCCACTGATCCCCCGTGCAGTCTGCAAAGCTGGGACGAAGCAACCAAGGACTCACTGAAGCTGAATTGTCTTCTGCTTGCCTTGATTTGCTGGAAGAGAGTCCTGCAAGCCCAAGGAGGCCATAGTGGTGGAAAGCTGCACTGAGCATCCCAGTTGGAAAGAAGGAAGGCAGGCCAACGCTGAGCCCAAGCCAGCATGTTCATGGTTACCCACAGAGGGACAGGCAGAGGTAGCACTGGCAGAGGTTGTTCCTGGCTCCACTTAGAAATGAGCACCAGAAGGTAACTGCTAGGTGCTGCCGCTGGCTCTCTGTGGCTCGGCTCCCCTGTCATCAGGGGAGGGAGCAGACTGGGAAAGCAGCAGCGGCTGCTGCAGGCGCATGGAGCTGCTCGCTCCTGGCCTGACTTGGGACGGGCGAGCCACCTCCCTTTGCTCTTCAAAGCATAGGTGGGTTTTTAACAACAGCCCTGAAAGCACAGGGGGTTGTGGCTATATCTTAGGGCAGGGACTGCTGCAGGCACTCTCTTAGGAGAAGCTTTCAAGAAGTAGATTGACTTTTCAAGGCAATGAATATCCACAGCTCCAGCAGGGAGCTCCAGGTGACCCATGCCTCTGAAACGAGCAGCCCAAGCTTTCCCAAATACCGCATCCATGCCAGATAACCAATTCTCTTAGCCACTGGTTTCACAATCTCCAGTCAGTTATTTTCCTTAACCAAATAACCACAGCAACTCATAAAATTTGTGTTTTGTTCCCTGAATAGATTTTCTCCTTAGGGGAAATTAATATATTGATTCTTTTTCGATAAACATCTTTCTGTGAAACGACACTGAAGTTAACGCTCCTGAAGACTGCATCCATACTTTAAGCCTGTTGGTAGAGGCCTTAATGCTGACATTAGATTTCAGACTTCTGGAAAGGCACAGCTTCTCTCACTTACGCTTCCCAAGACTGCTTTGACCTTTCATCTAATACTGTTGATTGATAGACTTTATACGTTATCCTCTGAGCTATTTGAAACAGCAAGAGATGTTATCAGCATCCCCTTGCTACTTCTCTTTCAGAAAGGAATGGGAAGAAGTATGGCCTCAGCCTGCAATAACAGTGTGAAATAATTCTCCTTTTCAAGTGCAAATATTTTAATTTTCTGTTGATACAACCGTCATGAGAAAGATCAGCCCAAAAGGTGATTTCCTCTCTCCAAAGGAAATTTCCAACCTAGAATACGGCAGCATGAACTTCATTTTCACAGCTAAATTTTCTTGAGCTGTTTCTGGATGAATTCCCAACAAATTCAGAAGACCTCTTGTGTGAGGTACAAGGTGTAAAATCATTCTTCTAAGATGGAGCCATATTTTAGTAGCACCCTGGATGAAGCTACCAGTTTATTTCATAACAGTTGTCAGGGGACAACTTGTAAAAGGACCAAATGAAACTGCTGACAGAAGCAGAAGGCTTCATCTCCCATTGTAACATGGCCTTCATAGCACTGCTCTGCTTTATGGGTGATGAGGGTAGTCTATAGATTAATGTTTGACTCAATGGTTGACGCTAAATGTGCAGCAAGAGTTACAGACCCGTACTAGTTTAGTAGGTGTCTAAGAATTAATGGTGAGGTTTGTGTCCCATTCCTCCCCTGTACAGTGGGGATCCTCCCTGTGTGAAGGAAGAGACCTCAGATTTTGCCTTCAGAAAGAGCTCACGCTTCAGACCACAGCAGTGAGCTGCTGGCCTCGACTGGAGTCAGGCTGGTTGAGGGGACTCCTGCTAGGTACATCTATCAGCACTTTCAACAGTGTCAAAAAAAGGTGGGAGGAAAAGAGGATTTTAAAAAACGTTCTGATGGACCACAGGTGCTTTTCATGACACCTCCTTTTCCCACTGGTTGGCAATAGTTTGATAACTTTATTAAGTAAGTGCAGATATGTAAAGATTAAACTATTTAGACACACTTGCTTCTCAGTGAAAGGGAACATTTTTACTAATTGCGGTTTTCCTGTAGGCTGGCTATGTATTCTGTAGTAGCAAAATTAATGTTTGCATTGTCATGCATCCATCCATCTGAGAGATTCTAACTGCAATCAGGAATTACTTTTTCTGTTCATGTATTGGAGAGAAGAAAGTGAGAGTGTGTGCAAGAGCTACCCCAGAGCCAAATTCAACATTAGACCTGAATTACAAGTGTTGGTATTTAGAAGAGCAGACAATGAAACACTCGAGTTGCTTCAAACACACAACATGAATTTACCTCTGAACTCTTCAAGATGCAACGCGTGTTCATATTGAATTTGGGTTGGATAATAAAACAAATTATTCTTTATTTGAACAACATGAGGGGATAAAACCAACAAAAATAACAAACCTTACCCTCCTTTCTTTACTGGAGCGTCTTTCGACTTGTTAGGTCCTTCTGCCCAGATCTCCTTGCCTTGTGAACCCCGAAGCATCTCCTAGCGTTACGGATCAGCTTGTCCATTCGGCTTTCATCGGTACCACTGGTAAGCAGCCTCTCGGCATCCTCTTCCTGCCCGGGCTCCCGCTGGGAACCCCATGGCCCTCCTAGCTTCTGGGCTTGATTACTTATTTAATTAATACTCCTTTTCAAACTCCTGCCTTTGCAGAGAGATGGGAGAAATAAACTTCATGTATTTTCAAACCATCCATTTCTCCCTGACAGAGCAATCAGGAAGGCTGATGAATTAACCGTTCCAACCGGTCTGCCACAGGCAGGCTGGTCCCTACGAACGGTGGGTGCCGTACGCCTCAGGCCGCCCACGGTTCCCTGCACAGTGAGGGTGACCAGAACACGGAAAGCAGTGGCGTGGGGAAGGATTTATGAGTCAGAGGGAATAAGTGACAGAAGAGAAGTTTCCAGAAAGGACTAATGAGAAGCTTAGACACATAAGTGGAAAACTGTGATCAGAAATTGAGAGGTGATCTTAGCTCTGCATGAACCATTAGTGAGAGAGACACCGCAGTGTTTGGTACTGTCCTGGTATCCCTTTTGCGAAGCATCTTCAGAAACGGGAGAGTGGTTCCAGCTCTGGAAAACATTTTAAAAGTTTGAGCCTTAGGGAGCGTGGGAGATGTAAAGGACGCAGCCTATTTAGTTTATCAGGAAGAAGACAGATCAAGACGCAAATCAGCTTACAGTATAGTAAAATTAGAAGAGAGAAAAGGTCTAGCAGTCATAGCTAGATCCACTGCTTGGAAGCTGAAGCCTTCATATTAGAAATAAACCCGAAGTTTTAGCAGACAAAGCAGTGAACCTGGCAAAAAAAAATACCCAAAGAAGTAGCATGTTGTCATCTCCCAATGTTTTCAAATCACGGCTGCATGCCATAAAAATGGAAGCTGATCACCTTCACACAGCCAGGCCTGAACAGGAGAGACATCTTTAAATCAGCCTTGGTTGGTTGGTTGGTTTACTGGTAACACAGGTCTCACCTTCTCTCCGAGCTCAGGGGTCAGTTCAGCCGTGGTAAAGTGGACGGGCTGAGCACTGCAGCTTCTCCAGCAGGAAACTCTTCCCGTGCAGATCACTATCAGCAGAACTGCACTGCAGTCCACAGCTGGGTAATTCCTAGAGACCGTCCATTTACTTTGAACAAAGATATTCTCAGATCATGAAATAACTTTTGGAAGAGAAGTAAAATGGCGAAAGCTACCCACATTATAGCAAAAGACACATTCAAGAAATACATACAGGTTTTTTGCCTCCAGAAAATAGACCTCATATTTTATTGCAGCATTTTAAAACTGATTATTGAAGTATTTTTATTAGTGAAACAGCACTTGTCCCATTTTTCCTGGCTCTTTCAATTGTGCTCTGGAAGTCGACACCCTCTCCCCAGCACCCCAGCCGTGCAAAGGAGCACTCTTGCCATATTTGCTTCTCGGCCAAATCCCCAGGCTTTTTTTTATTATTTTTTTTTTCCACTGACTCTGCCAGAGTCAGCCAGGGTTCATCGCCCCGGCGTCCCCGCAGCTAACCCGCAAGCGCCCCGGCTGCAGGGGCAGCCCCGGGAGGCGGCCGCCCGGGGAGGCGGCACCTGGGGGC